AGTGGATAGCAGGCCAGCTAAAGTATTAAGAACAAAACTGTAATGCATATATGGACCTTTTCTTTCAACAAATGAAAGATATAATTGTAGAATCATGGGGAATATATGCTAGATTTTAGTCAATTTTAGAAAAGTATTCTTAGCAACTAAATTAATGGATTAAAATTCAGGGAAAAACTATGATTATTATCAGAATTGTATATTTTCAATTTGAAAACAACAACTTTTCATTTACAAATAAAATATTATGAAAACATAAAATAAACATTAAGACGTTAAGTGGATATGAACAAGATAAAATCCTTTGTTTTAGGGTAAATGACAGCAACTAACCAAAATAAATCTGGCCAATTACCTGACTTGTCAAGAACCACAAGATAAGCTGGTAGACAGACAACAAACCACTTCTAGTCTTTGTCCTGCTGTATTCTTTAACCTGTAGAGGAGAACTTTTGTGACCTTGCAGCACAACTGGCAGAAAAATCATATTTTCATGCTGTTTTCTGGAGGGCTGGATTAGTTTTTCCTTACTATATTCTTCCTATGATCAGAGGATGAATATAAGACTAAAAGGACTTTCATGAAGCGGGATTCTGTGGAATGAGTTTTGTTTCTTTGCTTTCTTTTGCTTTCGTGGGAAATCTCTGCCAAAGAGAACCGACAACTGTTGCAGTTTCAGAGACAGGCATGCGACAAAACACACTGAAGTTCATGCAGCAACAGCCAAGGTTTATTTATGTGCGCTTCCTTTTTATAGGGGCTTCACATTTCCTGTGCTTACACAGGATTGATTGATGTCTTAACTCCTCCCAGCTTACTGGCCAATGATATGTATGCATTCATGATTCCATGGGATTGGCTGTGATCCCCTGATTGAATTTGATTCTGACCTATCATTATCATACCTGGGAGCTTGTTTACTACTATTCTCTAATGAGCTTTGGCTGGTCGAGTTGGTGTCTGTCTATCTGTGCAGCTTACACACCAGCTGTAACTGTCACAGACAATTACTGATTTCTGAAATTCTCAATATGTTATTCAGAGCTGGCTATGCCTCAGAAAGAAGGATTCCATGCTCTTCTAAGGAGTAATTGGCACTAAGACTCTGTAGGAAATGGACTACAAGTAAAATTGCAGAAATTACCCGTGAATATTCCCTAGAAGAAGACTTCCTTGACCTAACTTTTAGCAGCTTACAAGTCAAGAGCTTGGTCTCAGGTCAGCACTCAGGATCTATCTGTAGCTGATGGAGAAGGATAAGAATATCTGCTATTGACCTCCTTTCATCCTCAGAGTGGGTGTCAAGAACAACAGGATAAATCTTCCTAGAAAAGAATTTAGAACAAAATCTCAGACCTTCATTTACTATCTATAGGGAGAAATAATATGAAGTTCTGCAGTGAAATCAGTGAAATCCACTTCTAATCAAGTGAAGCAGCAAGATTTATGACTGCCCCATCCCTGTTCAAGGCCAGGTTGGACAGGGTTTGGGGTCTAGTGGAAGGATCCCTCTCCATAACAGATGATTGGAACACTTTAAGGTCCCTTCCAACCCAAACCTTTTGTGATTCCATGATTCTATAATTCAACTGATTCCTCTGCACCAGGATGCAATCAGATATGACCTACATGCCTGCCTCCCTTCATATAGGGATTTATACTGGGTGCTTTGATGATTAAATTTGATGTAGAACTTAACAGTTCCTACAAAGATAAAGGCCTCAGGACAGCTCTCAGGAGTACAAAAATCACCCACATTTGCTGGGATGGTGGCATCCTAAATGGGTGGCATGGTTCTCTGCCCCAGTCTCCTCTTGGACCTACTTTTATGATGTTTCTACATGGGGTTGTTTTCTTTTTCCTGGATGTTGCTTTTCCATTCAAAGAGCCTGAAATAGCATGGATGGTGGAAAACAACTTTTCAGAGTAATGATTTTATGCGTCCTGTGTTGCTGAGAGGATGTGGGTCATTCCCAAGGAGGCTAAGTGCAGGTGTTAGAAAACAAAGGAGAGATTCAACACTTCTTGAGCCACACTAAAATTCCAAGTCTGATTATCTGCATCCCTTTTATAGACACCATCTCTGGAAAGTGACTCCACTTTTAGACACTGATCTGTTTTGGTATGCAGCCTGACTGGCCCTCCCTGAGGATCAGCTAACTAAACAGGACTGGTGTAGCTGGTGGGGGGGGGTCTTTGTTAGACCCTAAAACTGCCTGCTCGAGCCAGAGTCAGTTATCCCGCAAGGAACAGCTTCCCCTGGAGTCCCAGGCAGTTCCTGACTACAAGGTACAAGTGCAAGCAATGCCTGGAGTTAGGCTTTCAGCTCTTTTGTGAAATCAGGCTTGCAAGTACCTCTGAGTCAGCAGAGAAGGAGACCGAGAAATGCAGTTGAGGAGATTCCATCGAATCTTTATTTCTTCTATGAAGGGGGTCCTGTCCAGCAAATCCTCTGGGTGGGGTTCTAAGGAGACTTTTATAGGTTTTAAGGGTTTTGTATTTGAACCAACAAACTAAAGAATTCTATAACTAACCAATCTACAAAAGACTTTAGGAAAAAGAACCAATTATCTAAGAGAAAAATGGACCACTAGAATTACAGAAAGATAGCATAGGGGTCTACAGAGGGGGGAGATGCTTTTTGGTATTAGTCACTCTAAGTAAACGATTTCTTATCTAAGTTTTCCACAGGGGCCTCTCTCCCCTCTCTGTGTTTACAAAAATGGCACTCCTGGCAACTTTTAAAAAACAGTGAACAAGGCATGCAAACATAACTAATACAGTGACAATTACAATCAAAATCCATAAAAGTCCCTTGACCAAAGATGCAGCCCACCCCGTCAGTCCCCATTGTCCGAAAAGGTCATTGAGCCAGTCTGGGGTGGTCTCCACTTTCAAATCCTTCTCAAGGTCCCTCAGTTTCTGGATGTTTTTGTGGATGGATGTTGAACGTGAAGAGAGGTTGAAGCAGCACATCCCCTCAAAGTCTTCACAGCCATGTCCGTGGGCGAGCAGCAGGAAGTCAATTGCCATTCAATTTTGCAGGGATGAGTGTCTCGTGGTTTCTTCATCCTTTAAAAGATCACTCAAGGCAGCAGATGTAACACTGGCTTGCTTACTGAGCCAACACCCCAAATGAGTAATTTCACCAAGGGCCTTTGCTGCAGTTACCCATGGTAAGAACAGGGAGACAGCAGCCCTGTGGGTTTGTTCCAATTGTACAATTTAGGGTCACAACTTTCATCAATTTCAGTGTAAGATCTTTTTTTTTGCATTTTGATTCGCTCTTCTTTTTCCAATTATGTAATAAGGTAATATTGGGGGTGAAGGTAGAAAGCTTGCCAAGGCTACAGGGTCCCCCCTGAAGACGAGAGGGGATTCCAGCCAAACTCGATCACCACAGATAAGAAACATTCCCCGGGGTAATGTTTTGGGGTGGAGAGAGGATTCAGAAAGTACGTGAGTGGTGTAATTGCACCAATTTGGATAATTATAGGCTTTGTTAATGGGTGATATGTCTTTTTGATATGTGTTTCTTATTTGACTTAATCCTGGCCAGTTTTGCTTTGGACTTTTGAAGTAGAATTTGACACTGTATGTTGCTTTGGAGGACCCCAGCAAATCTAATTCTTGGGGTTCCTCTGGAGCATTTGGCAATATTTTTGTCCACTGGTCCCAAGTGTCGACTGGATTGGGCATTTTACCTGTTGTCCTGGTTTAGGGCAAATTTGGGGGAAAACCTCCAGAAGGAGCCCCCAGACAGCAAACCCCCACGAATCCTCCCCTCCACCACTGGGTTTGGGAAGAATTTCCTCAGAGAAGAGTGGAAAAAACCCTGTTTAGTTAACAAGCAAAACACTCCCCAGCACAGAAAAAACAACAGCAGCTGACAAAAAAACTCTTTCACCGTTCTGAAGGGATGACAAACTCAGAGAGTCTCTCCGGCGAGTGGTCGCCCAGTTATCAGTCTCTGGCGCTGGGGATGACTGCTGCAGGTGACAGAATGCAGACTCCCAGTGTTTTTTGGTGTTTCCCGGGTCCCCGTTCGGAACATATTCAGATGGTATCCAGGAGGGGGGGGACGGGGGAGGGGGGGGGGGGAAAAAACAGTCCAGGGAAAAAGTTGGACTGCCTAGCTGAACTAACTAATAAGCAAAAGCAAGGGGAAAGCAAAGGAAAGAAAAAGAGGCAGAAGCGAGCAAGTAGGCAAGCAAGCAGGCAAGCAAACAAACAAGCAATCAAGCAAGCAAAGCTAAAACCTCCCCTAAACGTAGACCATGGGGAATGTGAGCCAGCTGATAACAAGACAAAACAAAGCTTCACTTTCAGAGTCAGTCCTGAAAGCACAGGACATAATACCAAACATAAACAGAACACACGATTGGAGATACAAACACCGTAACATCACCCTAGGACACCTGTGGTGCAGAGGAGCTCTGAGTCATAGGCGGGCCAGTCATCTGCTACAAAAAAATTCCTACCGAACATGTGGAAAGTGGGTTATCAAGGTTGCCCATGGATAGGCACATGTTATCTTGTTTTAATGTCTTTGCTAAAGTCACTCAGACATTGTATTTGGGTTATAGACTGATCCAGCTGAAGGCATGTGGCATGGTGAAGAGGATCCAGGCAGCAGTGAGGGCAGCATCAACAGAGATAATTTTCATCTTTGGACAAGGATGGGGCTTCTTATAGGGAATATAAGTAAAATTATTTATCTTTACAGTGGGGGGAGAGAGGGTTAGGGTTTTCTCCTTCATCTCCTTCTTTTGTCCCTTTCCCTCCCTCCCTCTTTTTTTTTTTTAATTTTTTCTCCTAAAGATAGGGGAGTGAATATAGTAGTAGGGGTTCTAGTAAAAGTTACAGGGAGGAGTAATATGGTTTTTCAGTAAGAGTAGTAACATCTAATTAAAGATTACTTTGTGGCCAGGCCATGTCTGGCTTATGATTTGCCTGACGCAGCTGAGTGCTGCTTAGGTTTTTGTTTCGTCTGCTGTCGTATGACACGAAGGTCTTTTCTTTGATATGCGGATTTTCGACGGCATCTTTGTCTCCAAGCAGAACTGGTCTGGTTTTGAGGAGGTCTTGTATTTGACTCTGGGGAATTTTTGTTGTTGTCCGCTGGAGTAGGTTTCCCCATGCCTAGGTATGGTTTTATGTTTTTTCCTGGAAGCCATTTTGGTCCAAATGGCAGGGAGATGCATGCGTACCCCCTTCCCCAAGTACTTAATTGGAAAGGTCTAGAGACCTGATGTGTTTCTGGGTCTTTCATCAGCACTGGTGGTTTTTCAGTGAGCTTCATGTGGGGTGAGTTTGCAAAGAGTTGGAGTATTGGTGAGCCAGGTTCTGATGTTGAACAATTTAGAAAATTGAAAACGTAGAGAGCTTTGCAGAATCTTTCAACCAGAGATAAAATTTCTGTGTCTCTCCACTGCTGGCTGAAGACTCTTTTCAGGGTTTGATGAGTTCTCTCTACAATAGATTGTCCTGTGGGATTTGCAGAAATGCCTTTCATGTGTTTAATTCCCCACTCATTGAGGAACTTTTTTAATTTTCAAGAGGTGTAGGAGGGTCCATTATCAGTTTTGATCTTTTTCAAGACTCCTAGAGTAGTGAATGCAAGAAGAAAAAGTTTAATAACATGAATGGCTTTTTCTCCTGCATGAGCTGATGCAAAAACTGCTCCAGAAAATGTGTCAACCCACACTTGCACATATTTTGACTTTCCAAATGATGGAAAATGAGTCACGTCGGTTTGCCACAGTTGAGAACTGTTCAGGCTTCTGGGATTGACTCCTGTACCCATAGAGGGTATTTGGTAATTTTAATAGTTTGGATATGTTGCAACATAACTTTTGCTTAATGCTTTGGGAGCTTGATCATTCTGATGAGGGCAGGTACATTTTGGTGAAAGATTGCATGTGACAGCTTGGCCTGAGCAAAGATTCAGGAACGTTGGCAATTTCCATTGGCACGGCCAGTGTGTCTGCTTTCTTGTTGCCTTCTGTAATGAAACCTGGGAGGTCGGTGTGTGACCTTACATGCATAATATGGTAAGGTTGTTTTCTGTTGGATATTAGGCATCTTAATGTAGAAATCAATTGGTGTAATTTTGGATTGGAAACTTCTTTGAGGAGAGCGTGTTTTGCTCTCATGGCTATACCGGCCACATAAGCTGAATCTGTGACCAGATTAAAGGATTTGTCTTTGAATTTCTCAAAGGCTCTAACAACGGCTGCTAATTTGACAATTTGTGGAGACCCCTCCACAATTTGGACATCAGATTCCCAATTTTGAGTTTTGGGGTTTGTCTTGAGTTTGAGTTGCCAATTTGAATAAACTTATTTTTCTTGTTGTGAGACAGAACCAGGAGCAAAAGAGCAAGGCAGGCCTAAAACTTGAGAGAGTATAAAAGAAAATTTATTAACTACACAAAGAAAAAGAGAGGAAATAAAAAAATTTCAGAATAAGA